TTCTATTGGTTCAAAACAGTGTTTACATTAGCTTATGTTAATTTCTAAAGATATAATTATATACAAGTTGATATTATACTTGTTAATGATTTTAGCCTACAAGAAAAATGAGTTTGTATATGGTCAACATGGTACCTTGAGTGCAGAAGCTATTTCTTATTCATTTTTATTTCCTTAACCTAACAGTGGTTTTCAAATTTTAGCTTGCATCAAAATCATCTGGATAGCTCGCTAAGTCACAGATTGCTGGACTTTATTTAAGAATTCTAGATTTAGTAATTCTGGGATTGAACCTAAGAATTTGCATTTCTGACATATTTCCAGGTGAGACTGATGATACTTACCCAGGGACCACACTTTGAAACCGGTCTAGTATAATAAGCACATAGCTCAGTACATAGTTGGAACACGCTAAAAAATTTGAGTATGTAACTGTTCCTATAACTGAATTCCTAATGCTTTTTCAGCTGAACTATTCCTTTCTACACTCTTTATTTTCAAGTGAAGCAGCTATTTATATCTGGTTACAAGACTGTACTTATATACAGTTACCAGAAGAACAAAGGATAAAAATATTAGAATCATAATGTTTTTGTGCTCCTTTTTAAAGCTTCATCAAGGATAGACTTTTCAAAATTGTCTTTTAAAAGTTTAAAAGAAGTTTAAAACTTTCTATTAGTCAAAGGAAAACCAAATCTCCAAAGGATTTATTTATAAATAATGAAGGCTTTGTCACTATCTATTTTAAAACCTTTTTAAAACTTTAAGTCAGTCTGCAGTCATAATTAACTTACGCATCATCAATTTTCAAGCGATTCTATTTCTTGCCAGGTTTATCAGTACTTTAATACTAAGGATCATCTAAGTACTGTTTAATAATTAGCACTCAATAATCATATATCCATAAAATATTATAGACTACAGCACATTTCAAAGGCAAGGATGAACCATAAAAAAATAAATTTAAAACTTTTATATAAGATTTAAATAAGTTTTAAATAAGATTAAGAGAATACTGTGGAGTTATTAGTTCTTTTGTTTTTGCGGGTGATTCTTTAGAAGTGGCTTTAGGCTCTTACATATTGAAAACAAAATATTTCTTGCTAGGAGTTAGTTTGATATGTTTTGAAGTTGATAAAACAGGAAAGCATATCTGCCTTTACTGGTTTATGAATAATGTATAACAAACATGCCCATATTCACATCCGATAAAAGACTTATCCAAAATATACAAAGAATTATTAAAACTGAACAATAAGAAAATAAACAACCTGAATTTTAAAATGAACCAATGAACTTAACAGATACCTCACCAAGGAAGATGGCAAATGAGCATATGAAAAAAATGCTTCACATCATTGTTATCAGGGAAATGCAAATTAAAATAGTGAGATACCACTACACACACACCTATTGAAATGGCCAACATTTAGAACACTGACAACACCAAGTGCTGACCAGTGGTGGAGCAACAGAACTCTCATTCATTGCTGGTGGCAGTGCGGAATAGTCCAGCCACTTCAGAAGACAGTTTAGTGGTTTCCTAAAAAACTAAACATAGTTTTACCACATGATCCAGCATTCATGCTCCTTGGTGTTTACCCAAGGGAGTTGCAAATGTATGTTTACGCAAAAATCTAGATGTTAGTTTGCAGCTTATTCATAATTGCCAAAACTTGGAAGCAACCAAGATGTCCTTTAATAGTTGGATGAATAAAGTGTAGTACATCCAGACAACAGTATATTACTCAGCACTAAAAAGAAATGAGCTATCAAGCCATGAAAAGACATGGAGGAATCTTAAACGTGTATTACTGAGGAAAAGAAGCCACTCTAAAAAGGCTACCTACTGTACGATTCCAACTATATGACATTCTAGAAAAGGCGAAACTATGGAGACAGTGAAAAGGATCAGTGGTTGCCAGAGGTTGAGTATGGGGAGGAATAAATAGGCAGAGCACAGAGGATTTTTAGGGCAGTGAAAAGACTCTGTATGATACTGTAATGATGGAGACATGTCATTGTATATTTGTCTAAAATCTTATAATGTGCAATACCAAGAGTGAACCTGAATGTAAACTATGAACTTTGGGTGATAATGATGTGACATTGTAGGTTCTTCACTTGTAACAAATGTACCACTCTGGTGGAGGATGGCTGTGCATGTGTTGGGGCAAGGACGACATGAGAAATCTCTAACTTCCTCTCAGTTTTGCTATGAACCTAGAATTGCTCCTAAAATATAGTCTTAAAAACAAGTGTGTGATCCTGTGCAGTAGTACTATTTTCTCTGTATTGTACTCAGAGAAGCAGCAGTGCTCACACAGGAAACCAGAGGTAGGAGGATGAACCTGGGGACTGGAGACATAGCTTCATGGGCTGGACTTAGGATAATTCTGAGAGGTGAAAATAAAAATGGCTTCTTCTACTGAAACGTAACTTTTTTAGACAGGGGAATTTTTTAGTCAACCACCATTTGTCAGCAGTCTTAGAGACAGGCTTTGGTTCTGCATTGCCCTGGTAATCTAAGTGGGGGCAGCTAGAAAAGAAAAATTCTCTCAAGTATGGTGGCTGAAGAACAAGCTATTATATGCGATACAAATTTTTGAGGATTATCTTTTTTTCCAAGCTGTCTGTGGCGGGTGTTAATAAGCGTACTTCTAAAGTAAGTGTCATGGAGTCATATACGTAAGAGAAAAAGGAAAAGAGGTTTTTTGAAAAAGTGAGTGTGTCTCTCCCTGTGTGTTTGTACGTTTGAGTTTCTGAAATGCTAATTGCATTGTATATCGAGTAGAGGAAGTATAATATACATTATTTCCAAAATAAATTTGACCATGGAACCCTTTTATCATATATTTTTACTAACATCCATGAGCAATGTTATAAGTGTTGTTGTTCATAAAATTCTACTCTAGATTGACAGAATAGCAGGCTAGTTAGAAAAAATTTCTCGCTGATATGAAAGGAAAGAAATTTGCTACCTTATGGTATTTTTCTAATTTAAATGATAAAACACTTCTCAAATACTCAGATTTAACAAACTGGATACAAATTATTTCATCTTCTGTGACTTCACAAGCATGAGCTTTAAATAGATTTGGTTAAACCAAGTAGCCATCTTTTGTTTTTTCTCTGACCGAAATAACTCATTAAAAAATGAGTTAAATGCACAGAACACTGCTCTCAATAGAACTTTCTGTAATGACGATAATATTCTATATCTGTGCTGTCCTGTGTGGCAGCCAGTAGCCACTAGCCACATGTGGTTATTGAGCATTTAACATGTGCCAGTGTGACTAAGAGACTGAATTTTTAGTTTTATTTCATTTTCATTAAATTTAAATTATTGCATGTGTCTAGTAGCTTTTATATTGGACAGTGCAGTTTATAGAATATATCTATAGACTAGAGCATTTTTCATACTATTTATTTTAAATTGATGTGATTATAATGAAATTACTCTTTGGGGAGATTTTTTAGAAAAGTTGAGACTGATGAATATACTTACACAATTTATATGCACATAAGTCTATAGCTACATGATTGAGAGTACTGTAGTAGTGGTTTTATACTTTTAAACTATTTTATTAGCTGGCTTTCAGGAACATAAATATTCTTTTGTAGTTTTTATTTCTTTTGTGTAATTAATACTGTATTCTGAAATAAGTTTTCACATTCAATTTTAAGAAAAGATAGTATGATGAAAGATAATTCTGTGAGATAAGAAACCTCAGATTTAGTTCCATTTGCCATTGGCATGCTTAGCAGTGTTAAAGCAGTTGCAAACTTTTCGTGGCTGTTGATTTATCTCTGAGTTGGAGATACAGGTTATGTTAATGTCCTTTGAAAATATTAGAGCCATAGAGAATAAAGAGTGTTTTAAGTGTTATTGTTGATAATTACGGAACATGCAAGAAATTTGACTCATTTTTCGTGAATGCACATTGAATTTTAAACATTATGATCCTTAATCATTTGATTTTCGTCAAAGAGTAATATGCTTGGTAGAAAGGTAAAAGTATTAAGGCATATAAATTCTCAAAATAAAAGTTTGACTTAAATAAAGTGATATGATTGAATAGTTTTAGAATAAATTGATTATTAAAGATATGACTACTTGGGGAAGCGTTAAATTATTTTCAGAGTAGTTTGTCTTATCTAGGACTGAACTTAGGAAATTTTAGTAACTAAGTAGTTCTTTGAAAGCACGTTTAATATAGTGATGCCTCTTATACTTGCACTTGCCAATTGAATAAAATATTTTACTCTCTAAGTTATGACTAAATAGCTTCACTTTAGTATTTGAACTGTTTAGGCAGGTTCTTTGTATTTTTATTCAATTAACATTCAGTTGTTCTTGGTTTCATTTTGGAGTTTCATTACTTTTAAGAGGTGGTAATTATTTTAAAAATTGTCCACAAGCATTTTAAATTGTATACAAAGTAGAACTGATGGCTTCTTCATATTATGCAGACTGACAGGTGCAGCCTCAGCATAAGTGATGATTTTTTTCAGTAGGTAATAAAACATAATTTTTTATATCAGATATATTTTTGTGAAAATCATTACCCTTTGTCTATCTTTAAGTTATGGTTTTTACTTTCCGTAATTTCTATTATATTGAGCATACTTTCATGTATTAAGAATGATACTTTAATATTGTGTAATTTTCTTTTTTTAATGACACTACTAACTGGTCTTACTGTTAGGGGTTTAGTGTTTTGTATTATATCTGGGTGTTTCATTAATGTCGTTAATGTGAAAAACAAAATATTTTGAGTAACACTACTCAGAGGTATCTTAAATTGATCATGTCTAATTCAGAATGTTTTAAACATTTCACAGGGTCATGAAAATGTTAGTGTTTAAGGGATTTTAGTATTTAGTATAGCCCCTTAACTGGTATGTGCCAAGATTTTGAAATATGTTTGAGTTGCTGTGAGAATAAGTAAAGACAAAATTCCTTATTTTTTATTTTGTTTTACTTTGGTTTTCTAAAGACACCTAGCTGTTGGGCAGAAGAGGGAGCCGAAAAGAGGTCACATCAGCGTTCTGCATCATGGGGGAGTGCCGATCAACTAAAAGAGGTAAGTTATTTCTGTTCTCAGTCTATAACCTATTTTGGTCCTAGCAAGTTATCTTGCTGTTTCCTGAATATAATAGTAGTTCCTTTATTTGCTGAGCTTACTTCTTTCAGAGTTTATGGGTTGCCTTTCACATTTTGGTGTAAAAATCTGAGTTTACCTTGTTTGTGACCTTAATGTTCTTTATAAATATTTGTTATGCACACTCTTAGCTTTTGCCTTTCCAGAATGAATTCTGATTTTATGTAATAATCTCAATATCTTCATTTTCATTATCTTTTGTTCGCACTTCAACTTTCTTGTTTTGAGTTAGAGCAACCAGAACTATAGACAGTAGCTTTGTACAATGGTAAGAAAGTGCTGCTTCTAATAGCTTTTTTGTGGTAGCCAGTATATTGTTGCCCTTTGAGATCCAGTTGTACAGTAGAATTCATATCTTTTAGAAATAGTTTTTATGACCCACTCCTTTATTTGTTATGAATAACCCAAATTATGATAATCTTTATATATATTTTAGATTATTTTTTATGATAGTGTTATGTTTTATCTATGTAAATTCTTATCTATTTGAAAGGTCATTTAGTCCATCATCTCCTATGTAAATGCTCCTTAGAAAGGTGGACATCTAGTTTGTTACGATCATTCTCAGTGAGATAATCTGATCACTTTGCAAGAGAACCAAACTAGTTTAATTGTTTTAGCTGAAGTTGTTAAATAGTTTATTTTAGATATCAAACTCAAAATTATACTCTATCTTTTTACTCTATCTTCTGTATCATTGTGTAACTCTACTTTAAATATTTGAAAAGCTAGCAGTGTGGTATTTTTCTCTAGCATAAGCATTGACATTTCTCTCAAACATTTTCATAAGCTACAGTTTCCTTTTAGCATCATTTTCATATACTACAGATTGTAAGTATCTCGCATGTACTGCAGTGTCTAGAGTCAATAGATACAGCCTATTAGCATGATTTTGCCTCTGACCATATTACAGTTTTGTAGCTTCTTTATAATATTAATGTAGATAAATTTTCAACACATATCTACCCTACATAGAAACACATATTTACAAATCTGTTTTCCTAGTAGCAAAAAATAAAAATAAAAAAGGAAGCCGAGTTGAAAATATTTAAAGTAGCAACATATTTATGCATAAAATAGAAATAACAAAAAAATGAACTTGCAGTTTTATCTCAGAGGTAAATATAGTCTCAAAGTTGTAGCCAAGACGTAGCATGGTTGAACTTTGGACTACAGCAACACATGATATACATGATTAAAAAAAGGAATGGCTGACATGACTGAGGGATTTGATTGCTCTCCACACAAAGCAACCAAAAAGTTGGGTGAAACAACTAATTCAGTGCTCTGGAATTCAACCAAACCAATTGAGAAGCTTTATTCATGAAAAGTCCTGAACTCAGGGTAAGAATAACATAATTCTGTGGTGTTCTTAACTGGTGCTCCTCCTCTTCCCATCTTCCTCATCCCCAGTTTTGTAGATGTGGCATTTCAGCCAGGATGGGGCAGGCCTTGAAAACCAGAAGTTTGCTTTCCCTGCTGGTGAGAGAACACTTGATAGGGAGTGTTGTAGGTTAAAATAGTGATCTTAGTTGCAAATGAACAGGGAGTACCAATAGCTTCACTTGTGTGAGGGCGTAGTCCAATTTGTGGCAAGCAACAGACTCATGGAGTAGCAAGACTAACAGAGGTCTAGGAGGCAAGACAGCCATGGAGGCTCAATGAAGTCACCACATATCCTAGGTTGACTGGAGACATGTGTATAGCAGAAAATGAAATGGGCCCAAGCCACCCATGCATCACTGATTAGTGGAACCTAAGCATATGTAGAGAGGAGATTCAAGCAGGCCTCGTGGTAATAAATTCTGGGGCCAGCTTATAAAAGGCTCGGATGTTGAATGCAGTCCTCATTCTACACAAAATCCCGTCCTGGGAGTGGAAGTCTCACTGGATCAAGATGTTTGAATAAAATTTCTGATTAGTCTTTGAACACAAAGGTGAACACTTGGAGACAAGCTCTAAAATGTCTTAAAAAGCCAGCCTTAAAGAAATATGAGGGGGAAATAATAATGGATTAGAGACATCAGTGGCCACACATTATGGGAAAAACAGGCTATTAGTCTGTCAAGTTACTAAAACACAAACAGATAAGACGGCTGCCCTCAGAGAAAATCAGAATCTACATTTGCTACTGTGGATTATAAAAAATGTCCAGCATTCAACAGAAAATTTAGAGATGCAAAGGAACAAGTATGACTCATACTTAAAAAAAAAAAAAATGGTCAATAGAAACTGTATCTGTGTCTCCATATGTTGGATCTAGCAGACAAAAACATCAAAACAGCTATTATAAATATGTTCAGAGAAGTGAAGGAAACCATGTTGAAGGCATTAAAGGGAAGTAGGATGACAGTGTTTTAATGAATAAAGAATTTTCACAAAGAGATAATTATTATAAAAAAAGGTACAAACAAAAACTCTAGAGTTAAAGTATAGCAACTAAAATAAAAAATTCACTGGTTGGGCTCAATAGCAGATTTGAGATGGCAGAAGAATCAGCGAATTTGAATATATGTCAGAATTTATGCACCCCGATGCCAGAGAGAAACAGAGGAAAAATCAAGACCCTTACAGACCTGTGGGGAAACATTAAATATGTCTACATACACATAATGGAAGACCCAGGAGACGTGAGAGAGAGAGGGGAGTTAAAAAGTATTAGAAGAAATAATGGCAGAAAACTTTACAGATTCGATGAAAGAAAAAAAAATCTGTAGATTTCAAGAAACTCAACAAACTCCAAGTAGAAAAATACAAAAAGAGCCACACAGACACACATCATAATTAAATTGTTGAAAGCCAAAAGAAAAGAGAAAATTTTGAAAGCTAGAAAACAACTCATTACATGAGAAACCAATAATACCTTTAACAGCTGACTTTTTTGTCAGAAACAGTAGAGCCCATAAATCATGACATGTTCAAAGTACTAAAATAAAGAAAAACAGTAAACCAAATAGTCTATATCTAGAAAAACTAGTATTCCAAAGTAAAGGTGAATTGAAGTATTCCCAGATAAAGATTGAAAGAATTTTTTGCTACTAAACTGTCTTGCCAGAAATATTAAAGGAAATCTCTAGATGTTACTTAAAATCTATGAGAAGAATTGAAAAGTATTAGGTATGGCAAATATGTGGGTAAATATGAAAGAGTCTATAAATATATTTTTCTCATTTTTCCACATATTTAAAACATATAAAATCATATAAAACAATAATTATAACACTACTATGTTGAGCTTATAACATATGTACCTGAAATATACATATGACAGTAACACAAAAGAGGGACAAGGGAAAGGGCATAGGTTATAGTTTCCATTTTAGTGGAATTAAGTATTCTTTGAAGTATATTATGATAAGTTAAGATGTATGTTATAATCCCTAGAGCATTTGCTAAGAAAATAACTCTAAAAAATAGAAAATAAAAATATCAGTGATTAAAGTGGTACACTAAAAAATATCACAAGAGTAAGCAGTAAAAGAAGAACAGAGGAATAAAAAAAAAGTGTGATGCAAATAGAACCTGAATAGCAAAATGGCAGAAGTAAATCCAATTATTTAAATAATTACATTAAGTGTGAATGGACTGAATGTTCTACTCAAAAGGCAGAGATTGTCAAACTGGTTAAAAAAGCAACACTCAGCTGTATGCTCTAAGAAACACACCTTAGATTCAGAGACACAACTAGGTTGCAAGTAAAAAATGGGAAAAGATGCATAGCATAAACAGTGATCATAAGAAAGCTTATCAGACAAAATAAGCTTTGACAAGAAGTATTACTGAAGGCAAATAGACGTATTTCATACTGATAAAAATGTCAATACATCAGGAAGATATAACAGTCATAAATTGTGTATACATCTAACAACAGTCCCAAAATGCATGAAGCAAGACTATGAAAGGAAAAATACAATTTCTGCAGTTGTAATTGGAAATTTCAAAACTCCATTCTCAGTATTTGATGGAACAACTAACGAGAGAGAATCAGCAAGGAGATAGAAGACTTCAACAACACTATCAATTAACTTGACCTAACTGACATATATAGTAAACTACCCAGTGACTACAGAATACACATTCTTTTCAAACGTGTGAAACGTTCCCTAAGTTAGACCATATGCTAGACCATAAAACATCTCAATAAATTACAAAAGGTTGAAATTCTGTAACAGAAAGAAATCTTAGAAAATCCCAAATATTTGTCAATCAAGCAATACATTTCTAATAACACAAGGCATATTTTAAAATATTTAAATGAATGAAAACAGAGAGGCAACTTAGAATTTATGTGTGCAGCTAAAGTAGTGCTTCAAAGAAAACATACCTCTAAATGTGTATATATATATATTTTAAAAAAGCTCAAATCAGTACCTACGCTTCCATCTTAAGAAACTAGAAATGAAGAGCAAACCAGACCAAAAGCAACCAGAGGAAGGAGATAATAAAGAATGTAGCAGAAACCAATGAAACAAAAATATAAGAGGAAAATCAATGAAAGTAAAAGTTGGTTCTTTGTAAAGATCAACAAAGTTGACAAACCTTTAGCTAGACTGACCGAGTTAAAAAGACACAGATCACCAAAATCAGCAGTGAAAAGGAGTGACATTATTAACCAACTTTATAAAACTTAAAAAGTATTATAAAGGAATACTGTGATCAAATTTATGTCATAAGTTTAGAAACTAAGATGAAATGGAAGATGAATTCCTCGAGAGACACAAATTACTGGAAAGACACAAATTACCTAGACTGGATTTAAGAACAGATAGAAAATATGAATAGACTTATAACAAGAAGTTGAGCAATTAAAAATCTTTCCAAAAAGAAAACCCCAGTATCATATTTGGTGAATTCTAATCAGATATTTAAAGAAGATAATAATGTTAATCTTTCAAGTTCCTTCAGAAAATGGGAGAGAAAGG